ACCGGGTACAGGGCACCGAGGCTCTGCGCAGCCACCCCCTGCAGCAGCCGGGCCCGGGGGCCCATGACCCGCACCTCGGGTGCACGCGCAAGTACAGGCTCCCTCAGCGACCACACCTCTCAAGCCTTCCTGGAGCTCCAGCTCCTCGACTGGGCCGGACACTTTCAACGCCCAGCCCTCCTTCCCGCTCCTCTGCTCAGCAGGTGGCCCGGTCTGTGTCCAAGGCCATTCTTGACTATGAACCCAGGTGACAGCTAAGTCATTCTGGACAAACGTAAAACTGAGAAGCCACACGTACCATCCCCTCCTCTGAGCACGAGAAAACTGCAGTCCAGACACCATAAGAAGCTGACACGCATGCACGCACACACACGCACACGCACGCACACATGCACACATGCGCACACGCACACACACGCACACACACACATGCACACATACATGCACACACATGCATACTCGCATACACACATGCACGTGCACACAGCTGTACACGCACACACACAGGCACACACCCGCACGTGCACACACACGCACATGCACACACAGCTGCACACACATGTGCGCACATGCACATACACATGCACACACACTCACGCACATGCACATGCCCGCATACCCGCACGCACACATACACACCAGTGCACACATACACACACGCACGGACATGCACACGCACGCACATGCATACACCTGCACGCACATACACACACACCAGTGCACACATGCACACAACACAAATACAACCACATACGTGTGCACACATGCATACACACGCATGCACGCAACACACACGCACACGCACACATGCACACATGCGCGAGCGCACACGCGCAAGACGCATGCACGCACACACGCACATGCACACATGCACGCACACGCGCACACGCGCGCACTCATGCACACGCACACACATGCACACTAGCACACACATTCACACAACACAAATACAGCCGCACATGCATGCACACAACATACACATGTGCACACATACTTAACAGACATGACAGAATTTTAACTTTCACATAATTACAATGGCAATCGGTCATAAAGGGCCCGGGGACAGAGCAGCAGAAACACGACACCGGATTTGTCAGACACTCGTGGAAAGCTGGGGAGCACGTGCAAGGCACATTGCCAACTGGGGCCGAGGGGTGCATCCCGGGCACAGGAGACGCTTGACCGAATGGGCATCTGCTCTGAGGACGCAGAGCACCCAGGCTGTGCACCACATCCAGCTGGAAAAGAAGTTGCTAATGACGAAAGACTTGAACAGAACAGGCCACTGGAATTTTCCAGGAAAAAAAGGACAAATCACAGCAAAGGAGCCGGTAGTAAAAGCGCCATAACCGTGATTACAAAGCACCCCAGACACGTGGGGCTTCGCTCCGTGTCACACGGGGCACAGAAAGCGCACCCTGCGTCCTGACACCGTGTCGGACACCCACGGACGGGGCAAGGAGATGCCGGGTGGCAGCTCTGCCGGCTGAGCGGGGACACGTGCCTCCGTCACTGGTCACTCGGCGCTCTCCACGCCCCATGTGCTTCCCCCAGGGGTGGCCTCCTGAGCCTCAAGGATGACGAGGACGTCAAGTGCAGCGGGAAAGTCCGAGCCCACAGACACGTGTCTGGCCGGGGACCGAGGCGAGTCCCGGCTGGGGACCTCCCTGTGCATGACAGCCGTCCAGGCCTTAACGGGCAGCAACGTACAGAGCACGACTTCCCAACAAGGCGGCCGAGGCCACGAGCATGTCAGTCACAAGCACGAGCACAGGCGTCCTGACGGCTTGTTGAAAACTGTTTTGCCCCGTGAGCATTTACTGAGCGCCCACTGGTGCTGGGCGGTGGGGTGGGGTCAGGCCATCAGGTCACAAGCTGGCGGGCGGGACACGACTGAATGATGACGAAGGCGGGGTGCACTGGCCCGTGAGGGTGGGACAGGGGGAGACGCCCTGTGGAAGCGTCAGCGGGACAGCCTCTGGGAGGCTCGGCCTCCGAGGCGACGGAGATGGAGGGAGGCAGGGCCGGCCCGGGCGGGCGCGCGTGCAGGGCGAGTGGGCAGGACGGCGCCCAGCCCCACTGCAGACAACCCCAGTGTGGTCGTGACCTGGTCACAGCCTGCTGAGTCGCCCCCGTCCCAGCCACCTCATCTCCCAGGCTGCTCCAGAGCCCCCCACCTCGGTCCACCACGTAAAGCAGGGGCCCCAACCCCTGGTCTGTGGACTGGTACCGGTCCTGGCCTGTTAGGAGCTGGGCCGCACAGCAGGAGGTGAGCGGCCGGTGGGTGAGCGAGGCTCCATCTGGATCTGCGGCCGCTCCCCAGCGCCGGCATCACCACCTCAGCCCCGCCTCAGGTCGTCAAGCATTAGATGCTCGCAGGAGAACCAGTCCCCGGTACCAGACAGGTTGGGGACTGTTGACCAACAGAGTCAACGCCTGGCTTGGCAGGGGACCTCTAGAATCCCCCTCCAGCCTATGTCGCTTCTGACTGGTCAGTGCCCGTGGCCTGCTGCTGGTCAGACACTGTGGCAAAGGCCCAGTGAGGGCGATTCCCTTGGCTTATTGCAATAACAGGATGAAGACAGATGAGCTGGCCGGCAGACGGCCGAGCGAGCGCAGTGGGAACGCGGCCGCAGACGGACGATGGGGGTGCCCTGCCCCCCGAGTCTGGCCAGAGCATTGGTCTCGGGATAAAGCCCTTTGAAAAGTCGCTGCAATTTTGACTCGGGGTTGACAGGCCTGGATTTGCAACGGGCATTCAAATCAGGCACATTATAATCTGTATCACACTTAAAAGGACAAAAAGAAAACACATTAAACCAATTTCATTCTTGCCTCAAACCCACAGAAATCAGAAGTCAGAAAATACTAGGCAAACTGTCTGATATTAGAAAAGAAATGCATATATTCTAAAATTCTTAAATACGCACACACAGGCACATGCTGTATAAAACCTGAAGATGAAAAGTAACCCCATTCACGAGTATTATATTTAAAAATTACATTACTCGTTTTTCATTACTGCTAAGTAGGGCACTGACTCTACAAATAAAGGAGGCAATTAATACAATGACGATCTGGCTTCTCCGCATTGCCAAGTACGGACAGAGAGAAGGGACACACAGAAGCTCGTCCCACGTCTGAAATCACCGAGCTACAATAATTACAAAGGAAAAAGCCACTGAAGCAAGACAAATACACATCAAAATGTCAGGAAGAATATCCTACTAGCCGCAGGAATGTTTTAAATCAAGGAAAAGAGAGATACCCTTTAGAATCTCCTCTGCCAACAGAAATTTGCATCTGAGGGCCAATGCTTAATATATTCGCAACACGTTCCTCATGGCAGTCTTTAAATAGCTCCCGAATTTCGTACATATTGACAACCATTCTCTCTATTCTTAATGTCAGCTAAGCTAAAAAAAAAAAAAAAGCCAGTCCTTGGACTCAAAACCGACAACGCCCTGAAGAGTTAGTTCCTGGCTGCTCTGAGAGACCACATGCGGTTTCTGTCATGTTCATTACGAAGCTGCTACTGATTATAGATCACGAAACATCGATGTCAACTCGCAATCTTGAGAGCACGTGGTCAACCGAACGCAGCCCTCACACGTGCTCAGAGCTTCTTCACGCAGTGGGACGTTTGGGGGGGTGGTTTACTTGGGCTTCATTTCTGTTGGATGACCAGGTCCCTGCGAGTGCTCACTCCTTCCCGCCTTCAGAGACAAACGTGACAGCAGCCTT